TTTTTCCACTGAAGGTTGGTGTGATCATGTTTCTGACAAACCGCCAATGGTCATCTTGTATTGATAACAGAGAATCGCGAAGTGGGCCATCCATCTGATCGAAGTCCTGTGTATACAATCGGTAAAATAGCAATTAAAACATTTCACATTCAGGATTTATAACCAGACTTTAATTCTAAAGTGCCTGGATTTGTGGGGTTCCTGTTTAAGGAGCGATATTATACAACAGAAAGACATACCTTAAACACTAAATGTACTATTCAGATTTAATGAGTTCTTTCTGCATAGTATAATGAGTTTCTTAATTTACACGAAGTTCACAACAGGTTCATTTGTATTTTCCTGGGAAAAGGGGCATGCCCATAAACATTAGACCAAGTAATATTTAAGTCATATTTTCTACCCTTTCTTCATATAGTGAGTGATAATGTTGTACACACCCTCCTATTGACAAAACTGTTGAAATCCTTCACGAGAATTTCTTTCAGTAACTTCGGGTCAGCAATAAACAGGTTGGGGAGCCTTCCTTCAAACGTCCTAGAATGAAAGCCAGGAGTGGCATGATTATCACGAATTGACATAAATGGAAATTTTGTCATGTAAACATTTGTTATCTTATTATATGTTCACATTTAAATTTGTCATAATGCATAAAATACAATACGACATATTATACATATATGTTTGAGAATATTGATTTCATATTACCAAGTACTTGCTATCAAACTATTAAACGCATTGTATTTAGGTGAACAATTTGAAAAAGAAATGTTTACTTGACTGCACTTACCCAAATATTTTCCCATATTTTGTGTACAAGTTCTGCTCAGCTTTGACAATGCCCTGAAATTACGAATACGCCTCATATTGTAGAGTTATAGATTCAGTGTTCTAGAGTATAAGAAATGTTTGGGTAATGGTAGAACTACACAGATTCTAGTTTAGGGTGTAACAGATATTAAGTGGATATATGATATCAGATTGATTATGTATTCTAGAAACATATTGGGGACATAAGATATCAGATTGATTATGTATTCTAGAAATATATCGGGGACACAAGATATCAGATTGATTATGTATTCTAGAAACATATTGGGGACATAAGATATCAGATTGATTATGTATACTAGAAATATATCGGGGACACAAGATATCAGATTGATTATGTATTCTAGAAACATATTGGGGACATAAGATATCAGATGGATTATGTATTCTAGAAATATATCGGGGACACAAGATATCAGATTGATTATGTATTCTAGAAACATATTGGGGACATAAGATATCAGATTGATTATGTATACTAGAAATATATCGGGGACACAAGATATCAGATTGATTATGTATTCTAGAAATATATTGGGGACACAAGATATCAGATGGATTATGTATTCTAGAAATATATCGGGGACACAAAATATCAGATATGTATTGGAGGGGGTTGGGGAAGGGGCCGACTCTCGAATGAATATTGGCGGATACACCATTTCATTAAGATCCAGTGTCGACTAGACTTTGGCGGATATACCATTTCATTAAGTTCCAGTATCGACTAGACATTGGCGGATACAACACTTCATTAAGATACAGTGTCGACTAGATTTTGGCGGATACACCATTTCATTAAGATACAGTGTCGACTAGATTTTGGCGGATACACCATTTCATTAAGTTCCAGTATCGACTAGACTTTGGCGGATACAACATTTCATTAAGTTCCAGTATCAACTAGACTTTGGCGGATACACCATTTCATTAAGTTCCAGTATCGACTAGACTTTGGCGGATACAACATTTCATTAAGTTCCAGTATCGACTAGACTTTGGCGGATACAACATTTCATTAAGTTCCAGTATCGACTAGACTTTGGCGGATACAACATTTCATTAAGTTCCAGTATCGACTAGACTTTGGCGGATACAACATTTCATTAAGTTCCAGTATCGACTAGACTTTGGCGGATACAACATTTCATTAAGTTCCAGTATCGACTAGACTTTGGCGGATACAACATTTCATTAAGTTCCAGTGTCGACTAGACTTTGGCGGATACAACATTTTATTAAGTTTCAGTGTCGACTTGACTTTGGAACACGTGATATCCTACTGTTAACAGGGTTTTACTGTGGTTTATAAATAGACTGGTAGTACACAGGATGTCATAATTACAACGTTCTAATGTAGAATATGTATTTGGAAACAAGGGTATTCTTTTGGTAATTAAATGTTTTAATTTAAACTATTTTATTTTCCATTGTATCTACTTAAACAATGTTATCACTGCGTTTAGATTAGCAGATTAGTACAAACCTCTGACATGAACATCCCCATATTTCCAACGACAAGGGAAGGCTTTGGACCATCCACGCCCATCTTCTTAAACATATTGTAATCCCAAGACATGTACCTACAATTAACATACCGACATGCTTAATATAATATTACATATATACGTACTTACAAGTATCGCACACCTGAAATTTTGCCACACTTACATAACAATAGTGCACATCTGGCATTGTTTCACAAATATACAAAATGTATTTATCAGATATTATTTCATATTCACCTACAAATAAACACCTAAAATTGAGCCACATATGCGGTTTCATAATGATTTTCTGATGGCAAAAACATGTGTATGGAAATTTTTAGATACAATGCAGCTCTCAAAGAAACAAATTTTGAAGTTTTGGTAAGCAAATTAGACAATGAAAACCAGGGCCAAGACAGTACTCATATTTACCTACAATCAATTATTACACTGTACTTTTTCTATTTTTCTAATTTTGATATATGAAAGTAACCCCATCTAATGTATCTTCCAGTTCTTGACAGCAGAATTACTTCAAAACAACTGTCAACAGGAAGCGAGTTAATTTAATCTCTTCCATCATCAGTGAGAATATTATCGTCTTTTGTCCTGGTCATATTGAAACTTCGCTATACCTAAATGGTAATACAATACTTAAACGAGATACTTACACAATGTATAGATAAGGACCATATTGAGTCATCTTTTTACTTCAACATCCAATAATTCTACTACTTACACAACGTATGCTATCACCATGCCAACCAGTAGAATGAGGAGCTGGGCCCATATGGGAATATCCACTAGCCCCAACACTAACATGATTTCTCTGTCTTGACGTTCTTCTCCCTAAAATAATAAATAATTTTCAACAAAATCTGAAATTCTCGTTTCTCTTTTAGCATTTTTATCCATGTGTATTAGAATTATTTCCATCTTCTACTTCATGGGATGTTGACAGTGTTCAATTACACCAATGAACTTTTAACAAAGGTGCACGACCCTTCCCTATGTCCAAACCAACATACACGCACGCTTATTATTCCATCACGTGGTATAATAATAAGCACAATCACGTCACATGAGGTTTATTTCAAAGGTAAAGCAAGTTTGGCCAGTCGGTCTAAACCTGCTGAAAAGGAAAACTCCTGAAAATCAGGGAAATACGTAACTATAGGTGCAATGGAACATATAGATCTAGGAACACTTGCTAATAACTATGCCACTCTGAATAGCAGCAGCCCCGATGGCATGTGACATCAAGAGTTTAAAGTGGCGATTATATAGCTACGATATAAACAATATTTTGACGGTTGAGAAATTAATTACTGGAATCGACTTTTGGAGATAAAACTGTTGGGTCGGGTAAATCGGAACTCAGAACAAATTTTTTTGTAGACTTGTTCTGCGCTTTATCTGAAATGTTTAGTGTTAATTAGTGTTAATACGATGTTCGTACCATTCGGTACGCACATCCCAATATGGCGACAGGCTCATTTATATATATATCCCAGTTTACATGGAAACTTGATATCTAACACTATTTTATGCATGCCATCTCTCATAATGATTGTTCATACCATATATTAAATTTTGACCTTTTTTCAATGACGATGTAGTATATATAATACCGGTTTCGAGATATAATTTCGTCCCAAATATTTGAATTAGATAACGATTGCTAATATATCCTAAGCCATATATAATCCGTCTAATGTCATATGTCAGTTACAATACTATACTGAAAAGTATGTTGCAATCTGGCAAATATCATACGATATCAGTTGGTTGTATACAAATATAAACGAGTGTCAAACAATTTATGATCAACTGTATAGTTTGTTTGTACGGTGTGAGAGTTGTACAAATACGGCGACGACTGACGTCCAGTTTATCGGGGAAGAAATAATCACTAGAACTACGAAGAAAGAATCAATTTTATGACAAACATGTTGGTACATTTAATGCAACAATATGGCCATTTCGCCCACCTCTGAAGAATTTACAATCTATGTTTAAAATGTTCCGAATCGTATGTAATAAACACCGATATGAAAGGTACATACAAATGCCATTATAACGTTAGAACTTTAGACTACGTCAGTGCAGTGACATGGACAGAAAGACAAGCTACACCCCACTGCATGTTGTAACGTTAGAAATTTAGACTACGTCAGTGCAATGTCAGGGATGGAAAGACCTGCTATACCCCACTGCATGTTGTGACGTTAGAACTGTAGACTACGCCAGTGCAGTGTCAGGGACAGAAAGACCAGCTATACCCCACTGCGTGTTGTAACGTTAGAACTTTAGACTACGTCAGTGCAGTGTCAGGGAGAGAAAGACCAGCTATACTCCACTGCATGTTGTAACGTTAGAACTTTAGACTACACCAGTGCAGTGTCAGGGACAGAAAGACAAGCTATACCCCACTGCGTGTTGTAACGTTAGAACTTTAGACGACATCAATGCAGTGTCAGGGACAGAAAGACCAGCTATACCCCACTGCATGTTGTAACGTTAGAACTTTAGACTACGTCAGTGCAGTGTCAGGGACAGAAAGACCAGCTATACCCCACTGCGTGTTGTAACGTTAGAACTTTAGACGACATCAATGCAGTGTCAGGGACAGAAAGACCAGCTATCCCCCACTGCATGTTGTAACGTTAGAACTTTAGACTACACCAGTGCAGTGTCAGGGACAGAAAGACCAGCTTTACCCCACTGCATGTTGTAAGAGGCGGCTAATGTGGAGCCCTGCAAAATTGGGGGTTTCTTCTTTGTCTTCTATTAGAGGGCATATAGAAGAATCTAAAATTAATCTGCTGGCCTCTTTGCAACACTTGGGATATTTCTTTTCTTTTCTCTATTTCATTCTCTTTTGTCGGTGCTGTCTTTAAAGTCATCCGTCTTCATATGACCCTATAGCTGCCGGGAGGTCGTTCAAACAAACTGATATTGCATGTAATCTGTGCAGCAATACATTCCAGCTACAAGGCTACGGCCCATCTTGGCCAGCCACCACCTTGTTGTGTAAAATAATCAAAAGAAACGCGACTATTTCAAGATTTGTTCGCATGCACACAGCTAAACAAGTCATCATTTTACTGCACCATATGACTAGTTCGTCCAAAACTTCATCACGAGATGTCTCGGTGAACGGCAACTTGGAACCTCTTTACTAGGGGATGTCTCGGTGTACAGCGACTTGGAACCTCTTTACTAGGGGATGTCTCGGTGTACAGCGACTTGGAAACTCTTTACTAGGGGATGTCTCGGTGTACAGTGACTTGGAACCTCTTTACTAGGGGATGTTTCGGTGAACAGCGACTTGGAACCTCTTTACTAGGGGATGTTTCGGTGAACAGCGACTTGGAACCTCTTTACTAGGGGATGTTTCGGTGAACAGCGACTTGGAACCTCTTTACTAGGGGATGTTTCGGTGAACAGCGACTTGGAACCTCTTTACTAGGGGATGTTTCGGTGAACAGCGACTTGGAACCTCTTTACTAGGGGATGTTTCGGTGAACAGCGACTTGGAACCTCTTTACTAGGGGATGTTTCGGTGAACAGCGACTTGGAACCTCTTTACTAGGGGATGTTTCGGTGAACAGCGACTTGGAACCTCTTTACTAGGGGATGTTTCGGTGAACAGCGACTTGGAACCTCTTTACTAGGGGATTTCTCAGTATACAGCGACTTGGAACCTCTTTACTAGGGGATGTTTCGGTGTAGAGCGACTTGGAACCTCTTTACTAGAGGATGACTTATTGTAGAAATATAATAGACTTCCTGTTTACATGTACTAGGGGATGTCTCGATGTAGATATTAATAGACTTCCTCTTTACTAGGGGGCTTCTCGATGTAGAAATTATTAGACTTCCTCTTTACTAGAGGATGTCTCGATGTAGAAATTAATAGACTTCCTCTTTACTAGGGGATGTCTCGATGTAGAAATTACAATGTATACAACACTTCCGGTTGATCGTTGCAACATTTCTTCGAAGTTCGGGATGCTACTACAAGTATTGTTTGTGTACGTGACAAAGGCCGTTTTTCCCTCAGGTACAGCAGTTGACCTGACCCAATATGTATACATTGTGTAGTTTGGACCAAAGCACTATGCATTCTAGGGTTTAGGCTAATTTTATTATTTTCTTTGATCATTGACACGGTCAGTCGTTCGTCATGATAGAAGAAAAGATTGTCGGTGATTTGAAAAGCGTTATACGTACACTGTAGTGCTTTTTATGGATACTATTGGAGGTCATCTGTACACATAAATTTGATTGCAAATAAATTACACTTCAGTCTTTTAAACTCGTGTTGTCAACAGACATGTGCATTGATCTTACAGATTAATCTGTAGAGCAAAGTCTCATAAAATAACTTCCATGAACAATACAGTTATATTTATACATCGAACGAATATGAAAACAATCCAGATGTGTAGGTGTTATAAGTAGACCGGCTAATTTCAATGCAGAATACAAACATCAATACATGAGCGGTTAAGAAAAAAAATGAAAATAAGAATTTATGAAATGCATAAAAAACATGTATAAGGAATCATTATCGATATGATATTTTCTTAAATTGATTTTAAGTATTCAAATTCCCTATCACTCGTACTTATATATTTTCGCAAACACAATTTTCATCGTGATAAAATATTTAGTTACAACCAATTGTAAGTAAAGATGACCTCCAATAGTATGCATAAAAAGAACTACGGATAACGTTTTCAATCACCGACTATCTGTCCCTCTCTCATGACGAACCGATTGAGTAAAATTAGCCTCAACCCTAAAATGCATAGTGCACTTGGTCCAAACAACAAAATGTCTACACCTTGGGTCAGGTCAACTGCTGTAACTGAGGGGAAACAGCTTTTGTCACGTACACAAACATAGTAGCATCCCGAACTTCAATGAATTGTTGCAAAGATTTATAGTTCGGAGTTTGGATACGATCAATCCGGAATGGCTGTAATAGACTTCCTCTTTACTAGGGGATGTATCGGTGCAGAAATTAATAGACTTCCTAGCTCTTTACTAGGGGATGTCTCGATGTAGGAAACGATTCTTTGGTATAGCTCGTTGATGGTTCCTAACAGGTAATGTCAACATTAACATTTGCCTCATCGATAAATCAATATCACTTCATGAAGTTGGAAATAGTTAGCATTAGCTTATGAGACGACGGTATCTTAAAGTAACTATGTGTAAACAACTGTTTCACACGTATGATGTAGATACATGTATACACCTGACATACGTACATGTACTGTACATGTCTAGATGTCTCTTCTTATCTGAGATTAAGAAAATGTGGTGTTTAGAATATATATCTGTATATAATGTGGTATATATAGCTGCAAGCTGTCATAACAGACAAAAATGGCACCTACCTTTGTCAAATATCGGCAATACCCGCCGTACTGTAAATACCCGCCGTACTGCCAATACCCGTCGTCTACAACTGTACATGTGCTTCGATTTAATGTACAACAGATCGCGCTCAATACTGACTGTGAACTATAAATAACCTCTCTAGCTACGACTACAGCAGACTAGTAATATATCTCCGCACTGTTCCCGTACCCACAATGAACCGTATACGGTAATATACGATCAGCTGCTTAGAAGGGTACGTGTAGGAATAAAATACTGGTGCGCTTTGTCCATAGTTTATTTTCTGTATGATGCAAGGAGGTTCTTTCAAAATTTCTTAACACTTCATGGTGAACATTTAACTTCATCCATTTATAACGACTGAATAGTTTCAATTTCCAAATACGTCTTTATTAACGTTCTAATTAAACATACCTGACGACAATAGGGCCGATAGTACTGCAGCACTTTACAGATTGTGTACCGTAGAGTTTAACGCCACATTGTTAAACAAACATCCCCATATATAGCCAACTGTTGGTTGAAGACACACATAGCGAAACTAATGCATAGGCAAGTGTTGCATCCTTATATGGTCATTTCGAAATCAACATTATATATAATCACTTAAATAGTAACCCGAAATAGCCCTTGAATCACTGTTTGTGCAGCACTTTACAGATTGTGTACCGTAGAGTTTAACGCAACAGTGTTAAACAAACATCCCCATATATAGCCAAAAGTGAGGTGTTGCTTAGCAAGGCGGAAATAACAGGTAGTTAGAAGTAGAAAGAAAGATAAATTTTCCAAATAATACAATGGGTGAAGCAGATGTATTTTGGTCGCTTCAATTCTGCAGGGGTTCACGCATTAGTCGCCTCCTACGATACATGCAGTGGGCAACAGCAGATGTATTCTTTTCCCGATCCCCCACCTGCAGGGGTGATATGCTGTGCTGGGTGCATTCGGCATGGTATTTCAACGAGATACCACTATAAAGTCACAATGAGGCAAACATGGAGGCACGTCCTAAATTATCTTAGCTATTGATAGGGCGTTAAACCCTGTAAAACCAACTATTGTCTTGTTTTATTTTTTGTTTCTTGTGTTGCCTTTCGTTTTGTGTCCATTTATTAAATTGCACATATGCTTTATATTCAGTGTGTCTTAATTTATGTGCAATGTTGAGAGTGACTTTCTGATGTTACTCATAAAAAAATGACAAAAATAAATCGGGAAGTAGAAAAAAATACATTATAATTCCCACTACAAGAATGCCAGTTGGAAAACCTGCAAAAAATAGATAAAATGTGTTAACCTCGACCTGTAGGCAAGAAAGGAGTATTGCATCAGAAAAATGTCATTAAAAATGAATGATTTACTGAAACCTGACTAAAAGAAGCTTTCCTTGTCGCAGAGGTAGCACGCCGAGAGGCAGATATAATTACTGCAGAAGAAGAAAATGAACTATGCCAGAAAAATATCCTCAAGACTGACTCTCATTAAAAGTTATGTTTTAAGGCTGTATATTGCCCTTCAACACTGAAATTTGAGATTTCGTGCAAATAGACAAATCACAATGAGAACGGGTCACCTGGGAATGTGTAAACGTAAATTTCATCCACAGCAGGAAATTTAGCTGCTACTTCAACTCAGAGCACAGTGAACTGGTATAACCTGACCATCGCTCGATCATAGAGTATGCCTATGGGAGTTAGAATGACAATTTCAACGACAGCTTCATATAAGATGTAGTGCATGGGGGTGTCAGACGATTCGCCCCCAAACTGTTACGCCCCAAATTTGATTCATATCGCCCCAACCAGTTCGCCCAAAAAAAACATAACGCCCCACCCCCAACTTTTTCGCCCCCAAAAAACTACAACGACCCAAAAATGTCCTCCATAATAGTCACTTATGGGGCAAATTTTAAAGACAGAAATTGAAAAAACTAAGATATTTTGCAATTCGTTTGATGCTGGGGACATAATTGTTGTGCCGTAGATCAGAGACTTAGACTAATATATATGTCTCTGTGTAGATCGATAACTTACATGTACCATATACACTGTATAAGATTATAAGATAATAAACACGCGTGCTGTAGATCGAAAAAAAAAAAAAAAACAAGATCCATTATGTTATGTATATATGTTGGAAAAGGGAGTGTGTTCTTATATTTGTTTATGCATATAGATCCGAAAAATGAACTAGATCTATATGCATAAACAAATATAAAAACACACTCTCTTTTGCAACATATATACATAACATAATAGATCTTGGTGTTTTTTTCTTTTCGATAAGTAATTTTGATTTTTGATATTTTTCACTTTATCCAAAACGTTCGCCTTTTATGAGTATTTAAAAGATTTTAATTTATCCATAAAAAG